AGTTTAAGTGGGCTTTATGGAATGAGATCATGCCTCAGGCTTCTCAGTTGAAGTAATTTTGTTTATAATGGGAAGGAAAAAAGGATTGCATGTGTCTAAGTTTTAGCATTGCTTCTTGTGAGATCCAATGTACATTTTATACTTCCCGTTGAATTTCAGGGCTTCATCTTTTTATAGCACGATGGGCAGAAACTCCACTTAGGCAGTAGCTGGAAGACTGATGATTTAGTAGGTCATGTCTTCTATTCTGTACTAATAAATATCAGTGATGTCGTAGTCTGTGATGACAGAGGTGAGTGCCATTAAATCTGTAAAATCCATGCAGCTTTGGTAAAGAAAGTCTCAGGAAAGAAATGGTTTGTTTTGATCTTCTGGTATGTTGTTGTCTTACCTGGGAAGCCTGGCAAACTGATTCTTGTCCTGATGTAACTTGTCCTAATTTCACATGTTAGTTCTCGAAATGAATGAAAAGAAATCAAAAAGGCATGATGGGAGAGGGCTAGGGTCCTTTTTCCTGCAGAGCCTGACAGTATAGAATCATAGAATGGTTTGGGTTCGAAGGGACCTTAAAGACCATCCAGTTCTAACCCCCCTGCCATGGGCAGGACACCTTCCACTAGACCTGGTTGCTCCAAGCCCCATCCAGCGGGCCTTGAACCCTGCCAGGGAGGGGGCAGCCACAGCTTCTCTGGGCAACTTGTTCCAGTGTCTCACCACCTCACAGTGAAGAATTTCTTCCTAATACCTGATCTAAATCTCCCCTCTTTCAGTTTGAAACCGTTACCCCTTGTCCTATTGCTATCCTCCCTGATACAGAGCCCTCCCTACCTTTCCCATAGGCCCCCTCTAAGTACTGGAAGGCCTCTAGAAGGTCTCCCTGGAGCCTTCTGTTCTACAGGCTGAACAGCCCCAACTCTCTCTCTCAGCCTGTCCTCACAGGGGAGGTGCTCCAGCCCTCTGAGCATCTTCGTGGCCTCCTCTGGACCTGCTCGAGCAGGTCTGTGTCTTTCTTGTGCTGGGTGCCCCACAGCTGGACGCAGCACTGCAGGTGGGGTCTCCTCAGAGCAGAGCAGAGCGGAGGAATCCCCTCCCTCGACCTGCTGGCCATGCTGCTTTTAATGCAGCTCAGGATGCAATTTCCTTTCTGGGCTGCAAGCGCGCATCAGTGGCTCGTATTCAGCTTTTCGTTCCCCAGCACCCCTAAGTCCTTCCCTGCAGGGCTGCTCCTAATCCACTCATTGTCCAGCCTGTATCTGTTTGCTTGGGGTTGCCCCAGTTGAGGTGCAGGACCTTGCACTTGGCCTTGTAGAACTCCGTGAGGTTCACACGGCCCCACTTCTCCAGCCCGTCAAGGTCCCTCTGGATGGCTTCCCTGCCCTCCAGTGTGTCAACTGCTCCACGCAGCTTGGTGTCATCAGCAAACTTGCTGAGGATGCACTGAAGAAACAAACCAAAACTGGCTCCATCTGCAAGAAGGCTCCAACTTCAGTGACCTGCGCTTTATTTGGCCCACGGTAGAGCTGAGATCAGATAAAAAAACAGGTAACATCTTGCTTTTTCTCATGTTTTGAGATGCAAGGTCTTGGAATTCAGTCTTTTCTTATTTATGTTGCAAGTAAAAAACATGAGAGGGAAAATTCTTCTGAGGCAGATATCAAAAGTATTAAATAAAACATTAAATAGGTCACAGGAGGAAGGAAATTAGATGTAGTTTATCAGGAGAAATAGAGGTAGTGTAGATAACATGAGCTAGAGGAGATTTATAATGAAGAAGCCACGGTTCAATCCCATACAAGCAGATAAATCATGAACCCGAGCAGACAAAACCGCTGTTTTCATTTATTACATGGATACCCTTAGGGTTTTGTACCATGGAAATGTATCTGCAGTCCCTTTTACTTACCACTATAATGAAACTTACTGTGCAATTGAATAAAGGAGCAGTGTAAAGAAACCAAATGTATGTATTACCTAAAATGTTTTGATCTAATATGAAGGATGTTAATTAATTACATGTATTTTGTAGTCTTTGGGGGTTTTTTTAGCATTTTGAATTTTGTCCCTATGTACAGCCCTTTCTTAAATGCAGAACATTCCTGTCTGCCTTTTCACGTCTACCAGCTGTCATATGCCCTTCCCAGTCAGTCACCTCTGCGGATGGAGACAGGATAATGTTTGTCAGGGCATCAGCAAAGGTAAAACAAACTCCTGAGGGGCTTGTGGACGTAGTTTAAGCCCACTGCAATGCTTTGCCAAGGGTCTGGATTGGAGTTTCTGCAGTGCCCACAGATAAGTTGGTAAGGGATTGGAAGAGGAGGAGACAGTGTCTGTGGCAGGGGTGCTTGGTGAGCACTGTAAATGTCAGAGAGCTCAGCAGACCGTGGGCTGGAGGTCCTGCTGTGCCACTGACCTTGAGTTGCTCCCCCCTTGCCCTTTCTTAGGCCATCTTGAAGAGTCCGAAATAGAAAAGGTTGGCATGGCTCTGTGCAGTGATGAGCAGTGTTAGCTGGAGCCTCGAGAAGCTGCTCTAAATCAAGTTAACAAAAGTAATAATCAGATCAAACTTGCTCTGAACCTCCCTACTGTTGAGGGGATATTAGGGGTTGTTCAACAGTCTGGCCACCACCCAGGTACTTTAGGAACGCCCTGAAAATGCTTGAGGAATTGAGTTGAATGATGTTTAAATGGTATGTGAGTAGATAATGAAATTAAATACATGGCAAAATATTATTCTAGAATTTAGTGATTAGCTCCATGCAGGATATATTTGAAGTAGTTGTGCATGACTGAAAATGCTCATTTCCATTCTGATAAACAAACCAGAAATTCTGTCTCAAACCATGGCTCTGCTTTGTACTGCGGAGAGCAGAAGCTGCCCCTGAGACCTCGGTGTGGAGGCAGCCTCCTTCAAAACTGCAGACTTGGATAGTGCTGTCCAGGCGTTTAGCACCAGCAGGAAGGAAGTCCTTTTGCTAATATCTGCATCACCCTTACAAGGGACTTTGCTGATGGACTGCAAGAGGATGGTGTTGTAGACTGGGGTGGTTTATTCTCCTGGTTGTATTCATTGCATTACCTTGGGCTAGATGCACAGGAACAGGGATAAAAGAAAACACATTAAGTGATGAAAAAGGAGGTGGTCAGAATTATTTGAGTTTTTATTGAAATTCTGTTTACAGTGCTTTAAGAGTTTTGCTTAGAGCAGCATTTACAAATATTTGTATTGCTTGCAGAGTTTTCTTATGCTGTTCCCTTACCATGAGTCAAGACATGATCCAGCACATGAGTGGAAGAAAAGGAATACTGACTAGAGAAAAAATATTGTTAGAGACCAGTAGACTAGCAAACCAGTCTAGGTTTCAATTTACTCTTAGTTATATATTAGGTTATTAATAAAAATAAAAAAAGGAAGAAGATGAAGTTGTTTAACATTTGAATTACGGCACAGAAGTGTAGACGTGTTTGCAGCTGTACTAAAAGAACATTTCAGTTTTAGGAATGTGATTGATAGAGATTTATTTGTTTGAGTGACAGAATGAGGAAAACTGCAAGTTCTTATAGGTTTGTTTCTGATCCATGCTTGCAAAAACAAAAGGTTTTTTGAAGACCTCCTAAAAAAACCTGACAGGTTTAATAATGGCCTTGAAATCAAAGCCTAAGTCTATGGCTAGTCACACAAAAATAATATGACATTGAAATGTTTTAAATGCATAATTGATTATGTAGTACAAAGAATCCTTAAAGATCCTTGCTTTTTACTAAATCTGTAGTTGAAAGATAGGATTTATTTATGGTGCCTTTTTATTATTAAAGGTTTTTAAATTCAGAAGTATGATACAGATTCTGTCACCTAGGATTTGACTGTAATCATAGAAGGAAGTCAGGGAAAACCTAATTCTGAATATGTATTTTTATTTGCAAATTTCTTAGTATATAGCAACTTCTCCTTGTATGCCAAACAATTGCTCTTTATAAATCACAAGGAGCTTCAACCCTCAGCTGCTCCAGGTGGTATATGTTAGTGCAGCATGCAGGAATAATCTCTATTTTATTTCATGCCAAAAATTATAGTAATCAGCAGAGCTGTTCCTTGAAGAATCCTTCACACAGGTGTAAGAGTACTTGTGCTTATCCCAAGACACTGAGTTTTATCTATTTATTAGTAGAAATCCAGTTTCAAAATAGTGATTAGTTCTGAAATTAATGATGACCTTTAGACTGAGTGCTCAGTTGAGATGCCAGTAGGAGTCAACAGAAAGTAAAGCTCTACATCCGAACACCAGAGCAAAATGTTCATTAGCTCTGCAGTCCTTTGCCTAATTAGTTCTTCAGTATCTTTAGATCAAAAATTCTAAACCAGACATTTTCCTGAAGCTCAGTTTTACCAGAAAGAGCTAAGCTTTACCAGGTATTATGATATTTGGACCAGGCCCTTTAAAATAATGGATTTAGCAAAGATCTTGGACTCAGACCCTTGGCCAAGGACGTCCAGTTCATTTCTACAAAGAGCACCTAGTTCTTCATACTAGTAAAATATTTCTCTCTGTGATCTCCAGTCTTCTGAAAGTTACTATTTTACAATTCCACAAGTTTTTAGCACAGGTGAGCAGCTGACACCGAACAGCTTGGTTTCCATTAGGACCGCTCCTGGCACCCCTTCTTTCCGTTTCCTGACTCCTTTCTCACAGCAGCAGCAGCAGCATGGTCATAACTGCTTTCTCCTGTTGCAGGGGGAGAAGCACTCAATCCTGCACCTTGTCCCTGGGGAAATCCTGCTTCAACTGCCCTGCTGCAGCCCTTGGCAGCCGTTTTCTTACACTGCAGTATCTAGCCCCGTGAGAGGCTTTGCAAAAGTGGGTTAGAGCATCTTAGCTCTCGCCCTTTGGTTTCTTTTTGTGTCTAAGCCCCCATCAGCTAACCTAACTCAGGCCAACCCAACGATAGACACAAAGCCAAAGCTGATGAGGTTTGAAGGGCTGACATCTGATGGTGTAGCTTGTAGATCTTTCATTTTTCTTCTCTCTTTCATTTCCTTTTGAACAATGAGACAAATTTTGATCAGCTGTATTTTAAACATGCAGCATGTTTGCCAGCAGATACTGATACTATTTTATCTTTGTACTTGCTACTGTAATGTAGTTACTGAAGGTGTACAGTTGCATTACAGTTTCTTTATATTCATGTTGATACTATATTTTCTTGTACCCCTGTTATCTTCTTTCTTTCTGTTCTTCTATTGCAAATGGTGCCACATGTTTTTTGAAAAAAGCTGTAGGTGTTGAAAAACATGAAGATTCAAATATATGAGAGCTTCTTAATGTGATGTATTCATTACTTATTTGCACCAAATTTTGTATTTAACATTTGATATGTTTCTTCATAGAGGCAGCAAGAAAGTATTTGACTACATTAAAATTATAAACCCAGTATGCATAATGAATTCAGTATAAATTTTGACAACTGGCATGAGCTAAGACTGGATGCAGTCAGACAACTTAGGTGCTAATTTGCAGCCTGACAAGTTTTGACACAGCAAGAGTCTAAATTCTGTTTGCTTTTACACAGATAACCTACTGGATTCAATGGAGAAAGTGAGACAGATTTTTGAGTTGACAGCTTTTAAGATCAGTAAAATTCTCACTTGGGACTTCTTACTGAATGTGTTGTATTTCTAATGGGTGCTCTTGTCATTGAATTCAGTGGGCTCTGATTCAAGCAGCGTTCAATTTCTGTACAGATCGAAAAGCAAGTTAAAAAACACAAACCATAGTAGGTTAGATGCAGTACTTGAACAGAAAAATCTCATCTGGGCAGAAGCCCCAAGGAAAAAAAAGAAGTTTAAAATCACACTGTCTAATCTGAAAAAATTAAGTCTTGAATAGAGTTATCACCATGTTGTGATGATAATTTGACATCACTACAGGACTGAATTAAAAGTATTTAAGTGTTTCATTTAACTAAAGTGCTGAATTTCATGGGGTTTTGGTATTTGATTTGAGAATAAGTGCAGCATCTTTGAATACTTTTTCAATTTAAGTTAATGATGTGCTCTCATTTTTAATTGATTGTTTTATTCCTTCTGAGAATATTAAATGGGCTGTGTGTAAGGTATGTCGAGATTCGTTGGTATCGACATAATTTTTTTCAGTATGCTTTGTCTGCATCTGTGGTAAATACTTTTAAATCATGTAGAAAAATGTGTAAATAAAAATCTTTTGATTCTCTTTCAAATCATAGTAGTATTATCCCAGCCTTCCAAGCGTGGTCCTTGAAGCAGAGAGTTACAGGGGTAATGTGTGATCTGTTTTCCTCCTGTGGAGTGCGAAACTCGGTACTGTCAGTTCAGCAGTGTGAGACGTTATCTCAGAAAATTTCAAAATAAGACATCAGAATAATTCCAAAATTGCTACATTTTATTGCTGGTTTTCTTTCCTTTATAGTGTTACTATGTAGACCCTGTTTCTTCAGACGATTTTGTTAAAACAGACCTCAGTTGTGTTTGTGAAAAGTGGGACTGCAGCCCTGGGGCAATGCAGTGAGATAGGGTAAGAGCAGACAGCGAAGACAGCAATCCCAAATATGCACTCTCCCTTCCGCTTAGCAAATGTAGCCAGATGCTAGCAAGCCATTATAGCCAGTCCATCTCAAAGAAAATCAATTTGTTTTGTTTCAGTTTGCTTTTGTTTCTCGCTCATTATTTATAACATTCGTTTGTCATTTTTGTCATTTTATAGAGCTTCCAAGAGCAGCTGTCAGGATCTTAAGCAACATGACATTCCTTTTTGTGAGTTTGTCATACACAGCTGAGAGTGCCATTGTCACAGCTTTTATTACCTTCATTCCCAAGTTCATCGAGTCACAGTTTGGCATACCAGCTTCCAATGCCAGCATCTACACTGGTAAGGCATTGCCACGTAGTGCAACCTCGCAGGGGTTGGTGTTCTTTGACTAATGAAATGAATCAATGTAGGAACGAACCAAAACCATGCTTGTTAGAACAGGTGATTCGATCCAGCTTTATGCATTTGCTTAGATATTCAGGCTGTTTTTTGATGTTTGCTATATGTGTTTAGTAAAATGGGAACCCATTTATATTGTTAAAGGGCTGAGTTTTTTTACATAAGCCTGGACAGACATTTTCTAATATGTTAATGGTCTTCAAAGGAGAAAAAAGCAACAAAAACAAGCTAGAAAACCCACAGGCATTGCTACAATTTGTGTGACTTAAAAGATCTTTTAAAGCTGTTCTTATTTTCTGTGTATTTTACTTCCTCTTTGATCTTTAAAATATCCCAATCTTTCCTTTTTCCCTAGTGACAAGTTTATCTGTCCCATCCTTCAGGCTGGTGGTTTTCTCCTTATTTACTTATTAACATTGAGCAAACAACGATGTAGTCTAGTCAGGAGAGCTCCCAAATCCTCTCCCACCTGTCTTTTCAGGTCCGAGACCTCTCTTTTGCAGGTGTGGCACTTCCCCTGCTGACACAGCACTGTACAGCCAAGTCCAACTTCTAACAGAGCTACGAATCACAAAATTTTAAGCTTTGTACTGCTCTGCGGGGTGTAGAGATGGGAACTTCCCTGTGGAAACTGTTGTGCAGAATTTGGGCCCAGGTCATGCAGATAATCTCCCTTCTCTCTTAGCTGCATCAAAGACACTTGTCTTTATAAGCATCTTTTTGACTTCTCCGTAGTGCTTCCTATTTCCCATGTAGAATAGCTGCTAGTTGCTAGGCCGGTTAGTTTTTTGCTCCCCCATACTTGCAGATAGTGCTCCTGAGAAGGAGTGATGGAGTGGAGAGTGAGTTGTGGGAACAGGGGTGAAATATGGGGTGAAGCTGCCCAGAGGCATCAGTCAAGGAAAAGACAAAAAGCAGCAGAAGAAAGAGAGAAGACACAGAGACCTTGCGTGGAAATCATTTGTCACCTGGAGTGGCTGGAAGAAATGCAATGAGTCTTTCCAGAGTGTGGAGGGGAAACAGAGTAGCGGCATGTGGTGACTTCTATTTGAGAGCTTGCTGGGTTGAGATTTTCTTCAGGGCAAGAAATCCCTGTGTTCTGTCTATAAGGAGGAAACACTGATTGATGGGACCATGATTCTATCTGAAGCTTAGGTTAGGGTAGCTATGCACACATAGGAGTGTTACTGTAATGAGTCTTGATGGGATTGCCACTCCGTAACTTGCTTCGTTCTCAGGATAAACCAGAATCATTCTTGCCAGACAAAATATTCAACAGCCACTACCTTAAAGGAGCAAAAAATTATGTGACCCTGTCCAGGGTGTGAAACTATTAACATCTGCTGTTTTCTGTGTTACAAATTTATTGATAAAGACTATTAAAATGGCCAGAAGAAGAAGGTGAAATAGCTCAGGCTGGATGTGCTATACAGACAAGTGAGCACTGCTTCCACAGCCCTAACTCCTAAACTTAACATTAAAGTCAACAATTGTTACTAATTTTAGAAATTCTTTTTGTAGGAAAAATAGGAAAAGGAAATGTGGGGATTCTACTAGCTAATCTAGGAAAAGACACGTCCAGTTTACAAACTTTTGGTTAGCAAAAGGAGGATTTACATGTTATTTATATAACTACATCTATACTTCATATGTACATTGCCAGCTGAGTACATGCACTTGCTGAATCTCTTCATGTGACTGAGTAAAGTTTTTGTTGGTCATTTTCGATCTCACTTCATAAGCAGCAATTCTTTAATTAAGTCTCAATTTCTTTCTATTTTTAAACAAACCCGGCATTAATCATCAGCAAAAATGCTATGTGCCAAACCTTATGTCTTGAGCTTGTGCAGCTTGTTCTGCAGTCTTGTCTTGCTCGGCAGATGGCATTTAGCCTCCAGGCTTTCTTAAGTACAAAAAAAAAAAAGATCATAGATCCAGGTTAAAATTTCAGGTGCTTTGCTAGGAGATTTACTTGTGAAAAAGAGAGTTACAGTTGAAATAATTTGTAATTGGAGGAGCTGCACATTATATAGTATAAAGCACTGTTCCAGTAACCTGCTAAAATGGTTACAAATGCATTGGATCTACCTTTAGTTTTAGAAAAGGTATAAAGTGTATCCCAGGCAGAAGTGCTTTGAAAATCTCCATGGTATTCCCTTTGGAAGTGTAGCCTGCTTAGCAGATATTGCAGATTTTCTGTTCCCAGACTATTAGTAGCTGTTAGGATCATCTTTTGCTGCTGTGGAAGGCCTCAAGTGCCACAGCATCCTGACAAGAGCAAAAAGGACAAAGCTTGAAAATTGCTGACTGAAAGCTGATATCGCCTTGCAGCACTGTACCCAGGGGTGTATTTAGCACATGCACAATTCCTGTAAGCCAAACTGTCATTATGAAATGAAGGAGAGTGTAGTGCAACAGCTTAGTACCAGATCTTAAGCTTTATTCCTCTAAAAGCCTTTGAAAAAGAAGAATGCATGTCCTGGTTAGATGTACATGCTTTGCTTTGCCCTGGAAGCTTGTCTGGAAGTGCGCTGTAGCAGCTGCATTTCTTTGACAGTACATCGCTTCTGATTTCACATCCCCTGTGGAAAAAAAGAATGAAAAATTTGTACTTAGGGCAAAAGAACCTGTGAGCCTTCCTGACATGTAGGAGGGAATGAGCACTTCCCTCTGCTGCCTTCACCACAAACACTAAAATCTGCTCCTGCCCTTCCAGTTTCTCCCAGAGAGAGTTTCCATCCCCAGCTCCACTTTGCATGGAGGAATTGGTCTTTATACTTCTTTTGTGTAGGCTTTCCTTTACCTTTCCATCCTCCTGAATGAGAGCGAGCCTTGGCAGGCGGTTTGCTCGTGTCCTCCTCATTTTTGATGTTCTGATCTTCATGGTGTGGCAGATGATGGACAAAACCAACAGCATGGTATAATTCGCTAATGGAAGAACCACTAACATAGTGCCTTGCAAAATATTTACATGCTCAGTTTTGACAAGATACTAGACACAGACACACAGAGTCTCAGTTCTAGGGAAAGGCTTTTCCAATATCCATGCACTCAAGAGAGTAAGAAAGAAAAGGTAAATTTGTCTTCAAAAGAGGTTACAAACTCAAAGCTAAGCTATAAGGTGGAAGGAAGAAGAATAAAATACTGAGGTTAGTTCATTGTCAGTAAGCCCCTATCTTAGGCTAGATCTTTCGTTCATATAGCTGATGTAGCCACAGTTTTGGTCCATGGAATATGTATGGTTCACCTGTCAGGGGTGTTTTAGAAGGCATTGCAAGTGATTCCAGTCTGCCTTTGGCATGGATGTGGGCTTCTTTGACACAGATTTCATAGAGCAGGGCATGCCTGCAAGACTCAGGTGTCTGAGTTACCATTTTCACCCAGAGAGACTATTTTCAGTGCAAGTGAAAAGATTTGCATTATTTCTTTCCCTCGTTCATATTCGGTCGTTGAAAGTGAGAGATATAACAGCTTGAGAGACGTACCAGCTTTGAACTTTGTGAAAGTAATTTAATTCTCCTAGAAGGATTTACACATTTAATTTCTGCTCTTATGAGAAAAAATGATTTTGATTCTATGAAGGGTTATGATTAAGAATCTTCCTTATGAAATAACATTTTATTTTATAATGCCGTTGGTAATGATGGTATAATTAAGGTGGCAACTACTTTTATCTGTTATTTTTACTTTTGTGATCTCAACATTTTGATAAATATAATGTCCCCTTCACCTTTAGACAAATTAGCAGAGAATGGCAATGCTTTGCAATGATATTAAAGGTATTTGCAAGTGATAGTCTTACTGGCTTCTTTAAAAAGAAGACCAACATTAAGAATTTGGATTATGAAGCTTAGCGCTTTCTCTGTAGATGCAGTTGCCAACAGTTGTTCAAATTCCATATTTATGTGGAATGCATCTTTATTAGCAAAGACCTAATTTAAAGACCTTCTCACATGTTAGTGAGAAGCAAAAGCCAAGGGAAGCGAAGAAATGCAAGGCATTCACTGTCTTAACACCACCTCAGACCCCGAGAAGTGAGGACAGCCCACTGATGTGTTGCTGAACTGCCACCTTGTAACTGCAGCAGCAGAGCAACAGAAATGTCATGGGCACGTCTTTTGTGTCTAAAAACTTACCCTAATACTAATTCTAGTCTCTCAAATTCTTTAGGCATGTTTGATCAGTTTGCATTCCACGTGGCTGTGCTGAGATGAACCGGTAGGAAAGTGCTATTCAGCTTGAGTTAGAGTATCCTGAGATCAGTTGGGGTGCTGATGTAGGAAAGTGCTATTCAGCTTGAGTTAGGGTATCCAGAAGGCAGAATTTGCAGCCAGGCTCATGTGTGCCCTCCCAGGTGGGCAGGCTTCTGGAGTCCTGCCTGAGGTTTGCACTTGTGCTTCACTGGAATTAATCATGAGAGTAGGAAGAGGAAGATTCGTGTCCAAATCTAGATTTCTTCAAGTTCTCAGTAGTTAAATTGGAGCAATATGTAGCCCTTCTCCCCATTCTAAAATAAATACAAAGCAATGTTTCTGCTTATAAGTACAATAGTTCACTTATAGTGCTTTGGCTGCTGGTAATATCATAAGGAGGCTTTTATTAATTCTTTGACAGCACTCCAAAGGTTTGAAAAGTCTGACTCAGTTTGCTAGCAGAGAATCAGACAATGGAGATCTTAGTGCAGCATTTGCTGTCATCTAATTAGGGAATGAAACCAATATTTATGTTTTATACTGTTTCTATAGGTCCTGTTTTAATGTTACTCTAATTTCTTCCTGGCAGGTGTGATTATAGTCCCCAGTGCTGGTGTTGGTATTGTCCTAGGCGGCTACATTATAAAAAAACTGAAACTCGGTGCAAGAGAATCTGCAAAGTTGGCTATGATCTGCAGTGGTGTCTCTCTGCTGTGCTTTTCAACTCTCTTCATTGTTGGATGTGAAAGCATTAATCTAGGGGGAATAAATATACCTTACACGACTGGGTAAGTGTCTTGGAATCATCTGTAGCAAAACCAGCTTTTTCCAGTAAGCCTGATAAAGAAATGTAAAAAACAATTGATGGCTGATGTACTGAAGAAGCCACATGTTCAGATAAGAATTCGGTGAGTATCATATATAAACATGCTGTTACTGTGTGGCCCTTCGGGTTTACATCTAGTTTATAATGAAGATTATGTAATAACTCACCTTTTTGAGGGATGGGAAAATGCATTAGAATGGACTTCAGTGATTTTTACAGGAAAATAAGAATATTATCCTCTGTAGATTGCTCAGTAGAATTTAGTTGGTGTTTCAAAATGTTTTATTTTCTGCTCATGATCTAAAGGGATTATAAAGATTATTTCTGAATAGGTTTGTTTATTATCACCGTAATAGTGTCTTAGGTCTACAGTCCCTATTTGAGAGGAATCACTTGGGCGTGTGCTCTTGACAGAGGTGTGCCCTGCTTCTGAACCCCTTACTAATTGTATGAATGCCCTCCGCACTTGCTGGATCATCATCAAGACATCAACTAGATCATAACCTTTAAAGATATTTTGAGAATGAAGAAGGCTGCCAAGAAAAAGAGCATGTGGATGTAGGAAGGTATTTGGAGTCAGGGATTTAGGCTATGACATTAACAAATGCATGGAAGAGCATTTTAAAAAAATGAGGGATATCTGGAAGGAAGACAGTGTGATAAAAGTTGTGAAAAGGTGTTTCACTGGAAGGTTATTCCTCAGAAGCCTGATCATGAGCTTTTTCTTTCTTATTTTGTACATTAGCTTTTCCCTAAAATTGCCAAACACAAGAACAGAGTAAGAGTTTGAAGAGCACGAACTTATCTGAAGCAGTGTTTTTTCCTTTGCTTTTGCCTCTGAGACAACGTCTGCCTTTATTTATGGCCAGGTGCTGGGTATTGGATCCGTCTGAATATCTTGCTTTTAAGGCTTAGCTTTGGACTCTGAACATTTTGAGGTTTGAAAGAGAGTGTAGAAGAAGTGTGGAGCCAGAAAAGAGATGATCAAATGGGGAAAAAAAGAACTGCAGTGGGGCAGTGAGCAAGCCAAGTGAAAAAGGGGAAGAATGGGAAGCAAGGGAGGAAGAAAATAGGCACTGTATACATAGAGAAGATTTTGCATTGAGTGTTGCTGGGTGTTACCACATTGCTGTCAAACCCTAATCCTAGAGCAAGAAAACCGGCAACTGAAAGTCATGAGCTGGTGGAAAGCTGATTTACTGCTTTGTATTCTCAATAACAGAGTTAAAGCTTGGTGCTGAGGGGCTGACTGTGGAGCAGAGTAGCATGGTGATAGGTCCTCGTCTGAGCATAGAGGGCTGAAGAAGGAGAGAACAGGGATGGGAAGGGGGTGGAATGCTTTGGTTGTCCACCTCCTGTTGATGTTTGTGGCAGCCTGTGGGCGTAGGTGAAGAAATGAAAATTATTAGGAATTAAAACACAAATTTCAGATAGGAATTAATTGAACTGTGTAGCAAGTCAGCATGTCCCTGCTTGGCTAATGAGAGGGCTGTAGTTTGTGAAAAAGTGCTATTTAGTTTAGATGTATTTCTACATTGAAGACAAGGCAAACTATTGCTATGTAACACATACCCTTCACACTGGAATTGTGAGATCTGTTTGGTTTTTTGCAGTAAGTAATAACATTTGCAGTAAATACATAGCATGAATCAAAACAGACATCTATTCACAGCTGTTCTGGAAGTCTGCAATAGCATTACTTCTTTGCCACTTTCATCTAATTGTTCTTATTGAGAAAAGAGGTGAGAGAAGGTAATGGCAAAATTCTTGGAAGTGTTGATGTATATTGACTCTTGAAATCAGTATAAAAATCAGTATGCTTAGACAGCAATGTCATCACAAATTGAGAGTTTCCCGCATGTTATAAAGCACTGTTTTGGAGTTTGCAGCCCCAGCCCTATAGGATTTTTTTAATGCAGAGGTCAAATCCAAATTTATTATCAAAACGATAATGAAGAAGCGGCACTACAGATAAATTCATCTGGAATAACTGACATGATAAACATTCTCTTAATCCTCATGGTCAATCATTTGATAGCTTCAAATAATTTACTTGATAGGCAACTCCTTAACTCGGACATCAAAGAATGTTATTGTTCATGTAACAAAAAAGCATGCTTTCATTTTGAGGTTTAATAAAACACATACTTCATTCTCTAGTTCCAATGCAGTGCAGCGTATGGACATCAAAGCAAATTGAACAGGCGAGATCAGATAGGAGAAGTAGTACAGCTACTTGGTTCAGAGTAAATGTCTTTCATGTTGCTCTACCTTAACATGGCTCTGCCAGCCTTGTCTCTGAAGGCATTTGATATTTGAACACAGTGTAAGGAGCCTTACGTCAAATCACAATACGGCATCCCTTCTCTTGCACCGTAACCATTGTCTGAATGGCAAGTCCTGAGTTAGTGAATTGTCTCCTTGTCCAGACAACTTTTGAAGGAGGGAAGCTCCACAGCATCCCTGGGCAACCTGTGCCAGTGCTCAGTCACCCTCACAGTGAAAAAGTGTTTTCTGGTGTTCAGAGGGAACCTCCTGTGTTTCAATTGCCTCTGGTCCTAGCACTGGGCACCACTGAAAAGAGCCTGGCTCCATCCTCTTTGCACCCTCCCTTCAGATATTTATGTACATTGGTGAGATCCCTTGAGCCTTCTCTTCACTGGGCTGGACAGTCCCAGCTCTGTCAGCTTTCCTCAGAGGAGAGAGGCTTCAGTCCCTTCAGCATGCGAGTGGCCCTTCGCTGGACTCTCTCCAGTATGTCCGTGTCTTTCTTTTACTGGAGAGCCCAGAACTGGACCCAGCACTGCAAGTGTGGCCTCACCAGTGCTGAATAAAGGAGAAATAGCAGAGATCAGCTGTTTTGGTTGGTTGTAGACCTGTCTCTTCCATGTTTTGTGGTATAAGACAACTAAACCAGGCTCCATGGGGAGCTTACTCATAGTAATGAACTGGATTAGTTCAGTTCCATCTCTCCCATTTCTGGTACGTAATAAATCAAAACAGACCCTTTTTGATTGCTTTCTGTTGGTTTGGTGCAATTAAGGTTTAGTTAAAGCATGCAGTTGAGTTACTAAGTCACAAAAAAAATTCTGTCTTCTTCTTGTACCACCAGTTTGGGTTTCTGTTATTCTTGTATCTCTTTCAGTACAATCAGCCAGTTGGATCCCTTAACTTGAAAGCAGTGACTAATTGGATCAGAACAATAACAACAAAGAAGGGACCCAGCTAACACAGTGAGAGAGTCCCTTGTTTGACAGCTACGCAAAATTTGCATCATTGCTGCGGTTCCAGCTGCTTGCCAACAAGGAGGCTGCAGATCTCTGCCATCCAGAATGTCCTTCAGTACCAAACCAAAAATACTGCTATTAAATTAGGATGATCGTGTCATATAGCCAAATATTACATTTACAGAAATTATGTGATGAGGGATTATCTCCTTCCGTTTATATTTTCTTGGTCCTGTAGGTTACTACAATGATCTAAATAAAAACATGTGCAAAACGATTCTTTGTTTAGATGTTACCAAAATATAGTCAGGCACTGTTTTATTTTGTTTTTTTTTTTTTTTTTTTAAACTGCATTTCATTTGGATTGTAGCCTCATAGGGCGAGGGTTCACCTTCTTTTTCGAATATGTGTACATTGACTGCCAGAACAATAAGGTTTCAGTCCAAGCCTGAGTATCTGAAATAACAGGTCACAGCTCTAAAAACTCCAGGCAATAAATCTTGCCTTATATTTTCCCTTTTCTTACTTTACTGCTATATCACAAGCCTTCCACAGAGTAATAGTTGGAGAGGAGAACAGGATTTAGAAAAAAAATGTTAGGAACTAGAGTCCCTTTCATTGTTAGTCACATCTAATAAAGGTCTCCTCTTTATTAGGTTTACCAGCATCACGTCATGGAGACACGGAACAGTCTCCCCAAGAAGTGAACAAATGCAGTTTGTCAGATGGGATTCTGGGTTTTGTCCCAGCACACATGTTCGGCCAACCTGCAGTTAAATCTTGTTAATGAAAGGAGTGGCATTATTGTTTGTAATTGAAAGAATAGTTCAGGAAACGCTGTTGTTTGGGGCTGGTTTCTGTCAGAGAGCTCATGCATGATGGGTGTCCTTGGCATCTCCGGTGCGGCAGCACTGCAGGTTGGCAGCACTGCATCCACTGAAAGAAGCAGGGTGGCTGTTTCTCAGACATCCCCTGTGTCTACAGCAGTGGGTGCATTGAAACTAAGCTGCTTTTCCCACAGGCCGGTTCACAAGCAGGACTTAACTTGCTTTGGTGCAATTTCCATAAGAGCCTGCTCTTTCTGACTGATGCAGTTATATTGATGATGCGCTGTGAAGTACTTCAGGGATCAGTGCTTTGTGGAGAGCAGGCAGCCTCCCAGAGTCGGAAGGCAGGAGTAGTAGAGTACTTTGGTTTGGCTTACTGCTGGAAAAATACATTCCTTCAAGAAAAAATGATCCCCTCCTGGGAGAAGTGTTCATAGAAATCTGTTATAATATGTGCTACATGGTAGATCACATGGGATGAAAATGGGGTTACATAGATATGTGTCGGTAGAGATTTCATGTCTCCAGCATCTGCATTTCTTCATCCTTCATTGGTTTCCCGTCACTGAAAGCGTGAACAGTGAGTGAATAGTGAAGGCAATAAAGATGGAAGCATGAACCTCTTACAGCTGTCTGATAGCGAGCTTTTGGAAACAGACTTAATAGATGATTTTGTATATCACATGTTCTTGAAAGGATGAAAAAACCCACATGTTCTTGAAAGGATGAAAAAAAAATCTGTTTGTGTGCAAGGCATTTGCTGTTAACAACAAAAAAAATTCCCCAAATAAACTTTACAGTGATTTGCTGAGGTACAAAAGGTGATGAAAGATGGAGAGGCACAGCTTGCAGTAGCTTGTTATTAATTTGAGCATATTTGCTTTACATATCTCTAAATGTAAGGCAAA